GAGGGGGCCCGGGGCCAGGGCAGCGGCAGCGGCCACGCCACCAGCTGGCACCACCACCTGCTGCAGAGGAGCCTGGTGCTCTTCTCTGTCGGCGTGGTCCTCGCCCTCGTGCTCAACCTGCTGCAGGTGCAGAGGAACGTCACCCTGTTCCCCGAGGAGGTGATCGCCACCATCTTCTCCTCCGCCTGGTGGGTCCCTCCCTGCTGTGGGACAGCGGCTGGTGAGTAGAATTTTTTTTATAAGATGTCTGTTTGCTCAGTGATTTTCAGGCTGAGAAACATTTATTTGAAAATGGAGCCATCCGGAGGAAAGGCATGCATGTCCGGGGTTGATGTTCTCAGCGAGAGGGGAGGACAGGAACCCACGGCCGGCCTCCAGGTGGGAGGAGGCTGATGGAGATGCGCTGGGAGATAGGCACTGGGCCAGCCCTTTCCCCCACTTGGGGGCTCGGAGGACGCGACAGTGTTTGGGAGCCAGGGCTGTCACCCGGGCCAGCTCCCCGATTGGCCGCCTGCGGAACTGGTGAGCAGAGGCACCTGGCTGCCATTGGCTGCCGGTGCAAACACGCTACACGCCGGGTAACTGAAAACAAACTGTCACGTGGGCAGAGGCGTTGCCAGGGAACCGCCTCCCTACTTCCTTCTGCGGCGCAGGCCCGCCCCAGCCTGTGGGGAAGAGAGGCCCTAGCTGGGCTGCGGGGTCTGTGCACCCAGCGGGGCGCCCGTGCGGAGTGATAGCACAGGCCCGTCTAGCCGCTGGGCAGGCAGACGGGCTCAGCAGAGTTTTTGGTGGTTCAGCTGGTTGGATGAGGATGCTGAATTGTTCCCAGCCCAGATCACATCGTACTTCTCAGTCACACAGCATTCGGGAATCAAATCCTGTCAGCGACTTCCTGCAGCCTCAACTCTGCCACAGTGGGCTGGCCCCTTCCGAGCACCCCAGGAGCACCCCATGATCTGGTGGGCGGAGCAAACTCCTGCTCAGCCCAGAGGAGGAGCGCCCAGCCATGCGCTGGGTGGCTAGCCCCTCTGCTTCCCCTGCTCAGCTGTAGCTCCATATTACAGATGTGGACACTGAATCACAGGTTCAACACCGCGTCCAGGGGGCACGGCCTGCACGAGTTCTTAACTCTTAATACTGTCTCCCTGGAGTCGGGTCAGCAGACTCACTCCCAGGAGCAGGGAGGCGGGAGGCTCAGGGTGGAGCGTGTGTTCCAGCCAGGACCCCTGGGGCTGGGGACACTGGTTTCTGAGCAGGGGGACAATGTTTTCTTTTTTTTCTAGAGGGACAATGTTTTCATCTTTGTCCTCAAAGGTGAAGGTCCTGCTTCATTTTTTGAAGCCCTTTAAATACACGCTGTGCCGGTTTGAGAACTAGCTTTAGATGCGAATTCTATTTTCCATACACATTTGGTGCAATAGTTACTTTGGATCAAAAACTTGATCTTAGTCCGGCTGGTGTGACTCAGTGGTTGAGCGTCCACCTATGAACCAGGAGGTCACAGTTTGATTCCCGTCAGGTCAGGGCACATGCCTGGGTTGCAGGCTCAATCCCTAGTGTGGGGCGTGCAGGAGGCAGCCGGTCAATGATTCTCTCTCATCATTGATGTTTCTATCCCTCTCTTCCTCTCCCAAGCTCTGAAATCAGTAAAAAAAAATTATATATATATTAAACTTAATCTTTAAAATGAAAGGTTTAGCTTTCTTTGAAATGGAATCTTCAGGAAATTCTAGGAATGCTTGAAACAATTCCTCAAACCCTCCTTTTATTTATTTATTTATTTTTTTTGGACCATCACCCACGATTCTGAGAACATTCCATAGTACCTTTCACCTACTTAGCTTTTCATTTTAAAAAGTAAGGTTAAATTATAATGCAGTAAGTTACAGAGTTTGGGGTTCTCTTTTTCAAAGCTCCACAATTAGAACTTGAAATGTAACATGAAATTGAAACTGAAAGTCTTTCGTTTTCGAGTTTGGCTAGAGCTGTTTCCTGTTTCTCTGTTCAAGAACCTAGAGCAGTTACCTCTCCCGGAGGACTGCCGACAGCCGGGGGCTCTGCCTGGCCCTCACGCCTGAGCCAGGTGCAGTGCGGAACCTTCATCCCACACGCCCTGCGGTGCATCCGCACCAGTCACCACGTGCCTCACGCTTTCCGCTGGCTCCTCTCCCAGAACCCCACGCCTTCTCCCGGCTCCATTCTCTTCTCGCTCATGCTTTCAAATTCTGGGTCTGAAAACTTTCTAACTGCTCAGATCCGGGGAGCTAGCTCCTCCTCTGTCTTCTTGTTACATAATCCTATTTTACACATGAGGAAACAAACAGTTTCCATGCCTGGTCCCTGGTCTCCCACAGGGCAGGCCTGAGCTCCTGGGGACAGATGGTGCCCTAGGTCTCCTGCGGTCAGAGCTGCCACCCCTCACCACTGAGTCCAGTGCCAGCCTGTGGGCACGGGGCCTCTGACCCGGACGTCAGTGCGACCAGCATCAGCGCTGGCCCTACAGGAGCGTCAGACTTACAACACGACTGGGCCTGGAGAGCTCACGGAGGCCCCTCTTCCTTGTAGATGGGAACCACGTGACGAAGCAGAGCAGGCCGCAGAGCTCAGGCCCGTGTGGCTGGGCCCCTGCTCGGGTCACGTCTGCTTAAGTAAATCAAAGACTGGTTTTGCTCTAAACTGTGATATTTTTTGTTTGTACTCGAGGAGAACAAAAATGTAAAACTAGTCTGAATTTCATCATTAGGTTACCACAGGTTAGTCTCCTGGAAAAGGACTGGTTTGTGTAGTCTTAATTGCCACACAGAAAGCCTGTCATTTTAAGCTGTTATTGGTCATGTTATGTTATTGAAGTCATTCTGACTGTTCTCTTCTTGTCTGGCAGCGGTTGTCGGTTTGCTGTACCCCTGCATCGACAGTCATCTTGGGGAGCCCCACAAGTTTAAGCGGGAGTGGGCCAGCGTGATGCGCTGCGTGGCGGTGTTCGTGGGCATCAACCATGCCAGCGCTGTATCCTTCTGTGGGCGTGCCGTGTCCTGAGCATTCTCTTCAGTTGTGTGTGGAAGCGTTGGTTACTTGGATGAGTGTGTGCTGTCTGATAGCCTGTGGGTGATGTTCTTCCACGTTTTATTTTAAAGCCTGTCGCTTAGTTTACACTCAAAGGTTTTAGCATGGCCCTGCGTCCTCCGGTTTATTTCCCAGGTTATTTCCAGACGGTGCAGACACTGCCCAAGGCCGAGTGAACTGTTCTCTCTCCTCTGTCGGCAGTATCTTACCTCCTCAGAGTCTGTTCTTCACGTCCTTGCATTGTGGTGACCTGGTTCTTGCGGCCCATTGACCACTGGTGACGGGGTCACTGTTGCTAGGCTTCTCCCAAAAGGTCAAGACAAGGCCTGGCCGTGACCATGGCAGTGCCCGGCGGTCCCCAGGTCCCCGGTGGAGCGCATGACTTGGAACATAAGTGCATTTTGGGAGGAAGGTCCATAGTATCCCGGGGCTCAGAAGGTTTATGGCTTCTCGAGAGTCTGTTTTCAATCTTAGAGAAAGATACTCTCAGAGCTACCAGTTCCTCAGTCTGCTCCCCTTTTGATGGTGAGATGCCTGAAGGGTGCTTGTTCTAAGATATCTTAGCTCTGTCAAGTTCACTCTGCCACCGGCTGGAAAGCAGAGCTGCGATGGAAGCCAGCTGCACGTCTCTGCGAGCGGGCTTGCGTGATGACGAACGTGGTCTGAGAGGGTCTCACGCCGACGTCGAGGAGAGCACTCACAGTTCCAGTTACTAATAAGATGAGAAATAAGAACTGGACTGAAGATGCCTTACTACCAAAATAGGTTGTTTTGTGGCTGAAATGCCAGCAAGATTTTACATACGGCTTTCAGAAGCTTGCCTGTAAGTTGAATTTGTACCCAGTGACCTCATAGAAGCTTCAGGCCACCTTGCTCCCGGGACCCTTGTATCTGACCATCTCTCTGCAGCTCACTGGGTAGCTTTTATGGATGGAGAATTATGTGCACAAGAAGAAAAATACGTGTAGGCTCTGGGGTTTTCTGTGTTTTTTAGTCTTATTAAATAGCACTAACTTTTCCTTAACTTTCCATCATCAGAAGTTGGATTTTGCCAATAACGTTCAGCTCTCCTTGACCTTAGCGGCCCTGTCCTTGGGCCTTTGGTGGACATTTGACCGTTCGAGAAGCGGCCTTGGGCTTGGGATCACCATCGCCTTCCTTGCCACGCTGATCACCCAGCTGCTGGTGTACAACGGCGTCTACCAGTAAGCACGGCCCGCGGGTGGCAGCCCCGCCACTTGGCTCAAACGCTCCCATTTTATTTATGCAAAGAGCCATAGACACGGCATGACATGCTCAGAAATGCTGCTTATTGCGGAGCCCATGTTGGAAATGCATCACCCACAATGTCCTGTAAAGGGAAACCACCTGGAGAGAGAAAGAGCGCCCTGATGTTAACACCACGGGTCCCACTGCAGGACTCACGGGCGGTTGGCTCAGCCCCTTTCTCCTTTGTCCGCAGGTACACCTCCCCCGACTTCCTCTACATCCGCTCCTGGCTGCCCTGCATCTTCTTCTCCGGAGGTGTGACGGTTGGGAACATAGGACGACAGCTGGCCATGGTACGTGAATTGTCACATGGGCGCCAGCCCCTGTAGTTTCTCAGCTCCGTAGGACTGCTTTATGGAACATTTTCTGTGTGTTGACAAATGTCTCATTGAGACTCAGCAGCAACAGTTATTGAGAAAAGAGTATATTTTTTTAAAAAAAAAAGATGCCCAGCTAGTTCTTTGCTGGGTCACACGGGTGCCGATACCTGAGAGCACAGGCCCCTGACTTCCTGCGGCCCCGCGCCTGCAGCCACACACAGAGACCACGCGAGACCAGCAGTGGGTGGTCTGTCCTCCCTCCTTCCCAGGTGCAGATGACGTGGGGAAAGGGCATCCGAGGCAGGCGGAGCCGGAGGCCAAGCTGCCCACCTGCGGGTGCCAGGTCGGGCCTGGCTCAGCGTCACGGGAGGTGGCCCTGCCTGGCACAGCCTGTCCTTCCTGGGAGAGGAAGAAGCCAGTCCCCTTGGCACAAGCGTGCTGAGAGCCAGCAGGAAACGAAGTCGGGGTCGATGGCAGTTCTCGGTAGTTAAAATCAGCGTCTGAATGCTTTTCGCAAAGAAAATTCAGTGTGGACATTTAACTCATTTTGAGTTGACTGACTCAAGGGCTTAACGGAGCTCATTGGGCTACAAGGAGGCTGTTCGTGGACCCGCTGTCACTGCTGTGCAAGAGCTGAGCCACGCCATACTGCGCGGGTTTTGCCTAGCTGGATGCTTCCAGTGGCTTCTGTGTGCTTGAAGCCCATCCTGAGTCTTCAGCAGCCTCCTTAGAGGGTTTGAAACTTGCTATTAGAGCCAAAAAAAAGAAGAAGCTAGAGTCTCAGTAGGACCATTGCTCTAGATAAACAAGAGGGCTGTCTCGGAAAATGTATCTCTGTGGGATTCTTGAAACAGGACATTTCTGTGCTGGCTGGGCACCCGCCCTGCCTTTGGTTTCCCTTCCATCCCCCAAAGTGTCTGTAAGTCTTCTGAAGCTGCTCCCTCCTCATGGGAAAGTCACGGCCCAGCTCGCTCTCCCACTCAGTGGCCTTCGGGCCCGAAGCCCTCTCCCCAGGGAGCCCCCCCACGTCAGCCGGAAGGGAGGGTACTTTTCCCTGGTTCTTGCCCTTTCCTGGGGACACAGAGAGCCTTTCTGAATTCATGCTGCCGCCACAGCAAGAAGACGGACGTGAAGCCAGATGGCCTTTCACAAGACTCCAGCTGGAATGTGGGGAATTACTTTTGCTCCAGATTATGTCGGGGCTGAGAATGAAAAATACACTGACAATAAGGGTTGTTTTAGAAAGTGGAGACTCCCGTCGCAGCGACTGTCCCAGCCTCACTGTAGTTTCTTACGGCACCTTTTGTTTAGGGGGTTTTCCCCCAAACCACAGCAGGAGGTGGTCGCCTACTGCACCCGCCAGATCAGGGCCTTGGCCACCACTGCCCAAAGCCCGGCCACAGGGAGCACTGAGGCCCGGCACCCGGTCCTGCAGGTCTGGGCGTCGCCTGGAATGGCCAACCGTAGGACGTGCCTGTTCTCTGACAGGCGCTCGTGGCGCGGGAGGCCTAGGTTGTGCCATGAAGTGGCCTCTTCAGAAAGAGCAAGCGACACTGTTCTCCTTAGGGAGTCAGGATAAGTGAGCCTATGTCTCTCTGTTCTTTCTTTGGAAAAAGGAAACAAATTAACAGCTTTCGTGTTTCATTGTGTTTGTAAAACTAGGGTCATTCTGTTCAAAATTGGTTGGTGTTTTAGAAACGGGGCATGTCACCCGGCCAGGCGGCGGCGGGAGCCGCCCT